CAACACACACACAACACACACACAACACACACACACACACACACACACACACACACACACACACACACACACACACACACACACACACACACACACACACACACACACACACACACACACACACACACACACACACACACACACACACACACACACACACACACACACACACACACACACACACACACACCACACACACACACACACACACACACACACACACACACACACACACACACACACACACACACACACACACACACACACACACACACACACACACACACACACACACACACACACACACACACACACACACACACACACACACACACAAACGACACATTATTTTGGCGGCGAAAACACATTTCTTTTTCGTTTTCTCCTGGAGCAAAACTCCGTCTCCCAAGCAAAGTGACGAACGTGCCATCCACTTGAGGTGCTATTGCAGGGCTGCCCCAAGAGCCTCTGCCGCGGCGGCGTGTCGCTCTGCGGGTCCCACCACACCTCCCAGGACGTGGCATCGCTGGATGGATTTTTTGGGGGTCCCCCAGGGCGAACTTGGATTGGAGGTTAGACACAGATTTGTTTCTTTGACCCGGACATGTGGATTCCTTAGATACTTCTATTGACACATTTTGCAAACCTGAAGCAACGCGAAATGTCAGGAGAGCGACCGCGGTTGTAACAGTCGCCCCTTTGCCAGATGGGTCTTGTCTTGCACCCTGCCAAGCCTCAGCCCGTCCCGGGTCTTGCAATCAAACAAACTGTTGACCATGGTACTTCTGTCTACGCCCTCCCTTCACCTGCCAAATCAACCGTGAAGCAATCCTAGACCACCTTGAAATAACATTTCACGCACCCCAGGCCCACCCTGAATCAGCGACCATTCAACACTTTCTTGAAGTGCGTCCAAATCCTATGCTAAATCTGTCTTAACCCTGTTAATCACAGCCAAAATCAGGCTTAAGACCCACCCTGACCCAAGCCCGAACCTTAAAGCAGCTCTGCGTTGACCCAAAACCAACCAAAACGAACCTACACTCCATCCTAAACTCAGGCAAACCCCACTCTATGTCCACCCTAAATCATCCCGAACCAAACAGAAAGCCAGTGAGAAACAATTCGTAATCCAGCAGGCTTGCACCGAACAGTGGCACGACAGAATGCAAGAAGCGAAGCCTTGGCATGAGAAGTCTTTGCGAGAAGTGGAGGCTCTCCTGAATTAAGATTAGCTCCGGGGCAAAGATATCTTCCATGCTGAAATGAGCTTGCGGTAGGCGAAATTCGCTCCCTGGCAACATGAACTTTTCCTATAGCTTTTCGACAGAAATTTGCTTCCTCAGCCTCCTGTAGACTAAGACATGAGCTTTCCAAGCTTCTCGTAAGCTCGAGTTGGCTTGAAGCTTCCTGCTCCACCCGAATTTCGCTTCACGAGCTTCCTGTAGCAGGCCAAAAGGTGGCAGCTTTCCCAGCGAATTTTCACCGAGCCAAGGGAAAAGACATCTTCCGCCTTGGCCGCAGGACGATTCCGGGGTCCAGCCAAGGCAGGAAGGGAGTTTTTGGGGATGGTACTTCAGGGATGTTAGTCTTCAGGTCAAAGTTGGCCACGGCTTCTGGGGTATGGGTCAAAATTAGACCACCAGGGGACCACAGGTTTTAGTCATTGTTTCCATGTACCAGGGTTCCATTTTGGGTACCCCACAGCCATTTTTTTGAATACACAAAATGAACGGATCGTAAGGCGAATTGCCGAACGGGCCTAACGGTCATGTGTCAAGACTTGGGGATTTCCCTTTGACGCCCAAAGTCAAGCAGGGGATTCGGCTTGGGATCTCTCAGTAGGAGCAAACCTGGTGCCTGGTTTGCTCTCTAAAGATGGAAGTCGACCTCTGACACCTGTGGCTTGTGGAGCTAGTTGCCACTATCAGAAAGCCTGAGCAAATGTTCGATGGTACCCAATAGTGAAGAGCATGTCAATTTTGCCTGGCCGTTCTTCATTCCATTGCTTCTTCGCGTGAACAAAGAGCAACGGCCTTTTCGGTTTTGGGTGTGGGGGTCCAAGCCATGTTGTTTTTGCGGGTCAAAGCTGGTTCTCACAAACCTTCCCATTGCACAAATTGCAGCAACGGACCACTCGGGACTCTCCAGCCGACGGAAGACATGGCTGTGGGTCAAAAATAGGTACCCAAAATCGAACCCTGGTAAATGGAACCAAAGACTAAAACCTGCGGTCCCCTGGTGGCTTAATTTTGACCCACACCCACATGTCATCCTACCGAAACGGTCCCGAAAAGGTCCAAGATTCGACAATCTGACACATAGGCCAATTGAGCGTTTCTCCCACTGGTGGACCGCTGTTGGTTTGGTAACCATTCCAGGGGCTACAATTTTGAGAACTCCTGGATGAAACAAAAGCAAAGGTTTACTGCTTGAAATTGCATCAAGATCTTGGTCTGCATGGAGGCTCCGACACATGCCTCTCTGAAATACCCGCAGCTCTGGGCCCATCGCGTGGGGCCTGGAAAAACCCCAGCGCCTGCATGTATCCCCAAAAGTCCCAAAAACCCGTCCGGCATTGTCCATGAGGGCGGGGCTCCTTTCTTCGATGGTACCCTGGGTTTAAGGCAAACCCAAAGGACCACCCCTGCCCCGTTTTTCGGGGCCCCAAGAAAGACACACCCAAGACTCCGGCGGGCCAGGAGAACCAGCTTCACCGGACTGGACGACTGGAGCCTGTCAGGCGAGATCGAATGGGAGCGTTCCCTTGGGAAGTTTGAGGTGATGCTTGAGTTGTCAAAGTGTTGCTGCTGGGCCTTCCATGCGTCTTCTGGCTTACTTTGAAACGAGCGATTTCTGCACTAAACGCACTTGCATGAGCTAAGAGCAGCCAAATCGAAGTTACATATGGTTTAGTTTAGCTATTGCACATGTAGCACGGATGTTTGTTTGTATATCTTGCGCGCGTGGACACAAGAACACGCTGTGAAAATGAGTGTTTTTTCACGCCCGGTTCAACATGGAATGCCCCCAAAGACCAGAATTCGGTCGGGGCTTTGCACACACACACACACACCATCACTTTTGCGATTATGCATCTTCATTATAAGAACCATGATACCAGGCAGTCTAGCATTAAACATGTTTACTATGAATGCTATTTGCTGGGCAGCCAAAAAGGGTAGCCAATCATTTTAGGGTACCCTATTTTGAGAAGTTCCCTTATGGATCTGGATGATTTTGGCCCTTTGCTGCCCTCGGCGCGTTTTTTTTGCTTGGCTCCCCGATCAAAAACAAGCACCAAATGTGGGCGATGGCGTTTGAGGCCATCAGCGTGCATGAAAACACGTCAACCAATCGGTGCAGCTTGTGCGACCTGTTGCAAGCTCACTTGGGCTTAAGCTTGCTCATGATGAAGGACCCTTCTTGGGTGTTCTTATTGCCAGGTTGTAGACTATACCAACTACTTGTAGTCCAGATGTGTGTCCAAAGCAGAGCGGGAGGGTGGACCACTTATTGGGTTCAGCCAAAAGCGGAAACCACACGCTGTTGTCCAAGCCCAAGCCTCACCCGGCTGCTCCCGAGCTTGCCCCAATCTTCACCTCACTTGGAATGGAGGCTTCCTGCAAATACATCTCTTGGAAACTGTGCACGAAGGGGATCAAGCAAGGGGTTCATAGGTACCTCTCTCCATGTGTATATATATATATACACATGTGTGCGCAAAAAAACGTATGTGAATATATATATATATATATATATGTGACAATGTGCTTTCGAGGGTCGGGGGGTTAAAACGGAATCTTTGGTATACATACATGTACATATGTTGCAGTCCCAGGCCACCAACCACCCCCCCCTATAAGGGTAGGGTCCCCCCCTCCCCCGCCCGACTTTGAGACCCCGGATCCCACACCCCGCTGCTACGGTCCCCAGACCCCCCCTCCTCAAGCCCAAGAACTCGCACCCTTGAATCCCGACGCGTCGGACAACTCAACCCACAACCAACCCTAAACCCATCCTACACCGCATTCTCGTAATCTCGCCCGCGCGTTGTTCGGGCCTGGCCCAAGCTCGGGCCGTTGCGACCATGGGAGTTTCATTTTCCTTTGCTCTTCTCATCATCTGGCAACTGACGAGTCGAACAGGTTGGGCTGGCTAGCTTTTGTCTTCGGCGCTTTGGAGTTGTTGTTATTGAATAAGAGAGACATTGCCTTCGATGCTTTGGAGGCGTCGCTGCTTCTGGAGGCACGCACACGTGTCCAGCGTCGAGGTAGGCAACATGGCGCAGTAAATGCCACTTTGAGCCGGGAGACCTATGTCGAGAGTCTCGTTTCTTGTTGCTTATCCCGGGCTGACTGAGGACGACGAACCTCGGCAGTCCTTTGTGGTATGCGCCCAAGCTGACTTCGCAGAAGCTTCACGCGGGTCTCGGTCAAGCCAAGGTAACAGCGATGCTGTGGAGCGTCGGGTGTCCAAGCTGCGGGGGTGGGGTGTTATGCTGCGTCGTGTGTTTGCAAAGTTGCTGGCGTGCCTTGTCTCAGATTTGCCTTAAACTTGGTAGCGCGAGCTTCTGGGCCATCCGTCTTTTAGTTCCCACACAGCCTTCTATCTGCTGGCGGTAGGTGGTGGTACCGCTGAGCGTCGCGGCTTGGTGGCTCTTTTGCAGCGCCCCGCCGAAGCCCCATGTGCGGGAAATGGGAGCAGAGGTGGTGGCTCGCGGGAGGGCCGTAGACTGGGGCCCGCCCGCGCTTGCGCAGAAAGCTTTACTACGACCATGGATTTGTGAACGCCTTGCCATGTTGAAGCGCCAAGGAAAATCGGAGCCCACTTTCCTGGAGCTCACCAAGCATTTTGTATCTCAGGGAAGCACGTGTGCTTTGCTTGGTGTGAGGAACCGTTTGACCCGCCGTCGGCTCATGGAAGATGTTTGATATCGAAATGCATTCAAGCGGGCGACTGGACAATCCTCTCCCATGCCACGTTCAAGTCCTTGTTCTCAGCAGCAGGGCGAACTCTACGCAGCGCATACTTTTCTTGGCCTTTCCCCGGCCTTTCTGCCCAGCGCACAGAAGGACTGGCAGCTGAAGCCAGGGAACAACACGGTGGATTTTTTCCGACGTCCTGGACACCATCGAAGCCTGCAAGCGCGTTTTTCCCCAACCTGGCAGGAGTTGCAGAATATGTTTTTCATTTGGTGTTTGGGGAAATAGCATGCAAAGCGGACGCAGCTCTCCAAACAGATTCACGCGCCCCTCGCACCCTGCGCACCAAGCGCGCCGCGCGCCCCCACGCACCCAGTGCGCCACGCGCCCCTCGCGCGCCCCCACGCGGCCGCGCGCACCCCGCGCGCCCCCACGCGCTCTCGTGCACGCCACGTGCTCTCGCGCCCCCCGCGCGTCCCCCGCGCCCCCGCGCGTCCCCCGCGCCCCGCGCAAACCCCTTGCACTCCCTCATAACATAATGATAGCTCATACAATAATAATACACATTATCTTATAAGTATGTTTAATCGCTATTTTATGTCAAACGTTAATCATGTAACATCTATAAACGCAACTGAATATGAATTTTGTTCGCATGAAGGGGTGGTTTGGTGCGCAGGATGAGGTACTACAACATCATCTGATCAGGAGTTGGATTTCCTAATGCCACATTTGTCGGAGTCTGGAGTAATATCGCCACTGACACCACTTTCATATGCGTCCGGCATTCGATTGCTGCGTTACTATTTTCGGCACGCCTTGTGTTGACAAAAATTTGCCCCCGCAGGCAGATGATCGACGAACTCCATCCACCACAGGAAGGGTTCTGGCGCTGCCTTGGAAAAAACTCCACCGTCACTGGGGGCTCCACCATGGGCAGTTGCCTCTGATTGAATGCGAATTGCACCATTCACGTCATCCCTGCTGTACAGGCGCAAGGAATGCTGTCCGCCTGAATGATGGCCTTGCTGAAGCCTATCCTCTGGGGAAAGGCTCTTTTGAGAAGCCCATGACAACGGAGTTGCCTTGAGCGAATGTATAGTGAAATTCTTCGCCAAATCTGGGCCCACAGGAGTGGAGGTCTTCCACGGGCACTAGCGAAGTGTGGCAGTCATTGGCTTGAAGCAGGGCTGTGCCCTTCAGCGTGAGGGGTCACGCAGACCTTGACACATGCGAGCAGTTTTTTCCTTCAGGTCCATTTATATAACAATTGCCGAACTTGCAACATTTGGTCGGGTTGGTGTTGCATGGACACGTCACAGGCTTCGGACATGCAACCCATTTTGATTTTCGAACGGATTTTGCTAGGCATGTTTTTGGGGTCGTTTGCTTTTTGTATGTGCTTGGATTCTCGTGCGAGGCTCAACAGCTCCTGGACACCGTTTTTCAGGACACAACGTAACCAAACCATTCAACAGGTGGACATGATGTGTCACGCGCGCGCCAAGCGCGCCGCGCAACCCGTGCGCCACGTGCGCCCCGCGCACCCCCCGCGGAGCCCCGCGCACCACGCGTGCGTCTAGCGTACCCCGCGCGCCCCGCTCCGAGCCAGGGTTTTGGGCGGGAGGGTGGTGGTGAACAGGGGGTCCCACGGGTTGGAACATATATATATATATATATATTTAACTAGGAATACCCATATTTACACAGCTCAAACTTACATACCCATGTAAGCACATTCATGCACGCCCAACGGACAACCCGGGCGGCCTCCTGCCTCCGGTCGCCAGTCCCACAAAAGAAGCCAACTCGGTGCAGCAGCCAGAAGAAGGTGGCGGCGATGTTGCGCACGCCGCTCGGCCGGGTCTTGACTTGGCGGGTTTTTTTTTGGGAGTTAGAGACACCTGTTGGTGGTTGGACATCAATTCCCAGCCAGATGCTTGATGTGCGAGGGCCCCTTATTAAAGTTCACCGTTTTTCGATCCCAGGGCCCAGGCTCGAGCGACTTTTCTTGGGGACTGATCCCCTACTAAAATAGACTACAGAAAAAAAACAGAAACGTGCCCTTTTCTAACCTCTCGGAGGACCTATTTGAATCTGTTGGAGATGATTCGAAGAAACGTGCAACGCAGTCAGGGGAATCTGCGGTTTTTAAGGGGATTTCGGAAACAGTGGGAAGCAATGGCTGTTTGATGGAAAGGGGGCAAAACGCGAGGCTTTCTTTTGGTTTCCCTGTAGCTACCAATCAAAAGTGGGTTCGCCATTTTGAGAAGCACTCGTGTGCATCTTGATTGACTGGTAGACCTAGCTGATGGATTCCCCCCGCCGGCTGTTTGGTATGCTGTCAGCTTTTGACACAGGGAGATAACATGGGAACGAACGCCGACACAGGCATCACGGAATCTGTTTGACTGCGAAAGTTGTTCAAACAGAGTTGCAGTTTCGGAGCAGGACAAGTAAACACCGGAAGCTCCGAACCAGGGCTGAAAAAGAGGCAAGTGGCTCAAAGATTGGTCAACCAAAACGCGGCCGCAAAAACAAACGACATGCGACCAACGATTTATTATGAATACTA